AATCAGGTGATTCAACGTCAATGAGGAGTTCCGGAACAAAGTCTATGGACTTGGATATACCATGTAACGATAATATATCCTTTTTAAATTTCATGACAGAAAATATTTGGTGATCACTTACTACTGAAATTGTCAAGTTGTTGAGTAGTATGGCGTTGGTTAGACGTTATAACTTCATGTTGTTTACTGATCTGTGAAACGTGCCATCGTCTGTGCAAAATCAGTCATCTCCACCATCTTCCTTTCTCTTACTTCCTTGTGCTCGATAATGATACATGATCACTAGTACCTGGATCTGAAAAAAATTTGTGAAATGTTTGACTTTAGCCCTGTCGTTATAAGTGATTTGTCTTCAAGTTGTTATCCCAACCACACTCAAGTAAAGGCGATATGCTACGAGTGTCACTTATTTGTACATGACGTTCAACGTAGAAGAAATTCTACAACCTCAGTAATCTTGTTAGCTACGTTCTGAACTATATTTTTATTTTTATTTTATGGTTACAGCTTGGTTCCACACCGTATTTTTTGGTACAAGTGTGGAATTTTCAGCGTGAATATCGGTAGCCCAAAATCCGCAGGCCAACCATAGATATCAGGTGTGCGTCGGCGAGGGCTCGAACCCCGGACCATGTGCATGGTCGGCGAGAGTCCTAACCACTGTGCCACCGACGCACAGACTGATGAATTCTCAGTGTTCTCCAGTGGAATATTCTTTTTTATTCTTCTTTGATAAAAGCGCAACAGCAAGTGAGAAATCGAAAATGATGCGTGTAAATAATGGTAATTACCTGAGGACCTAACTGGAACACATATAATACACAGTGAAACCGAGTGAATTTCAAGAACATTCCTCAGTACCACAAAAATAGCTCATGGGTATAATGAAGTCACTCAAAAGTAGATTTGTGATAGATTTGGTTTAACATGCGCCCATAACTGTGTTATTAAATAACACTTTTTCCCAGCTGCGAAACCAATATTTTAAGGTAATGCAGATATTGACAACGATTATTTTCATGGAAATATTTGTTCTCTTTCAAAAAGTGTAGAGATACGAATTGCGATATTCGAGTGATCTATTTATTCAGCAAAGATGCATGTGGAAGGGACAGGCATAGACTATTATTAGATATGATAGAGAAGATTTGTAGTTCAGGTGTATGATTTTGATGTGCTTTTGTTCTCTGAGCTGGATGGTTAGTTTGAGAAGCTTTCATCACGTTACTGGGTGACAACTTCAGCGCATACTTCAATTCGAAGTGAGCTTTTAGATTTCTCCACGAGTTTATTAATCATCTCTCCTGGTGACCTTGGACGTGATTGGTTGTTTGTGTGTGTTTTCACACCTTCTAGGTTACTTGTATTGGAACCGGTTGTTTCTTTGACTTGAACTTTGGCCCTTTGTGTGTGAAGTTTCTTTCTTATTGGCTGATAAATTTTGTCTATCTCGATGTGTCTATTGATTGATGATCCACTGGAATGCCAAGCTTCTAAAAATTCTCTAGCATTCTTGTTATTTCCTTTGTCTAATATTTGAACGTTGTCCCAGTCGAATTGATGTCCGTAGTTGTCTGTGTGTAGTGAAATGAGGGAGTGGATATCATGTCTTTTGACGGCTAGCTTATGTTCGTGGATACGAAGACGAAGGGGACGTCCACTTTGGCCAGTCTGGCGTTTTTCGCAGTTGTTACAGTTTATTTTGTAGATGATGTTGGTTTTGTCTTCTTTCGCTGTTGAGTCTTTTGGTTGACATAGAATTGAGTGCAGTGACTTTGTTGCAAAATTAGAGAAAACCCTCAACCAGGAACACCTGTCAACGCTGATCACCGCAATTACACTGTCAAGTGAAAAACACAGAGAACAAAGACGAAGAGTCCTCAAAACCAAGCTAGCCAAGATTAGAAAACAACAACCAGACAATACGCCCATAGACTGCGTAGTCAACCTATCAAAACAACCACTATCAAAAATGGAACAACAACTACTACAAAAAGGATTAAACTACAACACCGGAGATGCTTCAAAAACTGATTTCTTCGCTGCCCTTGAATCATTACTCAAATCATCAAACTTGAACGAGGAAACACAGGAAGAGATACGCCAAACAATTGTACCAATGGTCAAACAGAAAAGACAACACACACAACTCAACGCTCAAGAACTAAAGGCCCTCAAAAAGCTGAAAAATAGGAAGGACATCGTCATTTTACCAGCCGACAAAGGAAGAACAACAGTAGTCATGGACAGAGAAGAATATACCAAGAAAGCTGAAGAACTACTCAAAGATGAAGATGTATATCAACAACTCCCAACAAATCCCATACAAACATTGGTTAACCGCATCCAAAGGACCTTAAACAAGCTCACCAAAACTGGACAGATCACAAAACAAGACCAATGGCGAATGAAATCCAATGGACCAGTCCTACCCCGATTCTACGGCAGACCCAAAATACACAAGGCAAATATCCCATTACGACCAATTGTATCACTCCCAGGAACTCCAACATATAATTTATCCAAAGAATTATACAGAAAACTAAAACACCTAACGGAATCTTGCGATCACTCCATCAACTCTGCTATCCAATTCCTAGAGAAAATCAGAGGCGTCCAAATAGATGAACAAGAAATAATGGTATCTTTCGACGTGACAGCATTATATACCTCTATCGGACAAAAACTAGCAAAAAAAACCATGGAGCAATCACTTAGCAACGACGAACAACTGCCACAACAATCAAAAATGCAACACACAAGCTGGATGGAATGCATAAATCTATGCCTAACAACATACTTCCAATTCAACGGCCAAATATATGAACAAGTCAAAGGAACACCCATGGGATCGCCAATATCAGGTTTGATTGCAGAAGCAGTGATGCAAAGACTCGAAAATATAATTCTACCAAAGATCAAACCCAAGATTTGGATACGCTACGTCGACGACACATTTGTAATAATCAAAAGAAACGAATTAGATAAAACTCACAACTTAATAAACAACGTCTTCAACGACATCAAATTCACAAGAGAAGAGGAATCCGAGAACAAAATACCATTCTTGGACGTCTTAGTCAGGCGAACAACTACAGGAGAATTAAAAACTCAAGTTTATAGGAAATCAACTCACACAGACCATATACTGAATTACAACAGCAACAACCCAATAACAATAAGAAGACGTAGTTTATCTGGAACGTATAATGTATTGGCACAACACATTTCGGACATTCTGATCACACACGTACTTGTCATACACAGTTTTTATATAAGGCAAGAAAGCATGAATAATTACAATACAGGTCAGATTGTGTACAGGTCAAGGCCACAAAATAATGGGTAGGGAGACGCAAAAGGTGTGGGTAAGAAAGATAAAGGGAGGAAAAAAAGGCAAAGAAAGGGTTTGAAAATATTATGAAGTAAAATCGGTCCTTGGTTCTAAGTTGGATAACCAAGGCGGGTTTAAGGTGATAACAAATAACTTTTGGACGTATAAGACAGGTTTAAGTCTTTTAATGGCTAAGGCTTCGATGAATTTAAGTATGTGACCCAACCTTGTCTTATATATCGGCTTAAAGGCATTATTAAAATCAACCTTATGACCCGTCTCTATAATATGCTTCGCTATAGATGATGTTGGACATCTATTTCTCAGGTCAATTGTATCTGGCGATTTCATTTGTTGTTGCAGCCACTTTGGAATGTGTTCTGTAGCCCTAACATGCAGAGACCGATGGGTCCTCCCTATGTACGTGTCTCCACACATACATGTAAATTGATAAACACAGTGGAATGTGACACTATCGTTCGGATAATGTGAGGGTTTACAGGACAGCATAGTTTTCGTTTTCTCTATGAAGATAAGTTTAGCTGCATAATAGGTTCTATTAATTGCGGCCTTAAGTCTTTGTCTAGTGACTAGACTATGTTGATCACCTAGGAACGGCAAGGATATGTAAACATCCTTTTTGGGAACTGATTGGATTGGTAAAGCTGTGTGGTTGACACTTCCATAACGTCTAATAAATCTCAGTGGGTAATTGTTCTCTAACAATATTTCAGTGAGATGTTGTCTTTCTTCTTCAATTGTATCGGCGGTACATATACGGTGAACGCGCTTGAACGTTTCAGATAAACTACGTCTTCTTATTGTTTTGTCGAAATACATAAAGGGAACCAATTGCTTTAAACCCAATAACACACAAAAGGTATTGCATACAAACACTATTCAAGAGAGCAAGGACTCACTGCAGCACTCCCACCTTAAGAAAAATTGAAGAAAAGTATCTCATGGACGTCTTCCAAAAGAATGCATATCCACGGAATTTCATCAAGAGACATATACCCCCAAGCCAACCTACCAAAGCAAAAGCCACCAAGGAAAGCACAAAGAAAATTGCCTTGCCATATATAAAATATATCTCAGAAATTACTACAAGACTCTTCAAACCTTTGGGAATTGACGTCGTACACAAAGCAACAAAGTCGCTGCACTCAATTCTATGTCAACCAAAAGACTCAACAGCGAAAGAAGACAAAACCAACATCATCTACAAAATAAACTGTAACAACTGCGAAAAACGCCAGACTGGCCAAAGTGGACGTCCCCTTCGTCTTCGTATCCACGAACATAAGCTAGCCGTCAAAAGACATGATATCCACTCCCTCATTTCACTACACACAGACAACTACGGACATCAATTCGACTGGGACAACGTTCAAATATTAGACAAAGGAAATAACAAGAATGCTAGAGAATTTTTAGAAGCTTGGCATTCCAGTGGATCATCAATCAATAGACACATCGAGATAGACAAAATTTATCAGCCAATAAGAAAGAAACTTCACACACAAAGGGCCAAAGTTCAAGTCAAAGAAACAACCGGTTCCAATACAAGTAACCTAGAAGGTGTGAAAACACACACAAACAACCAATCACGTCCAAGGTCACCAGGAGAGATGATTAATAAACTCGTGGAGAAATCTAAAAGCTCACTTCGAATTGAAGTATGCGCTGTAGCTGTAGCTTCTTGTTGTCTGTATTTGACCATTTACGCTTCCATAACAAGTTGAAAGTTATTGTAAAATTTAATATCCTTCAGTAACAAGTTGAATTAAGTAGTAATTGCAACCATGTTAACTGAGGCACATGTTTACGATTTCATTTCTGCTGAGAACAAAATCATCACGATATCTTTTTCGAGCTGCTCGATTGCTAATCTCCGTAAATGCTTTGGGACGAGAGAAAATCTCTCCATTATTATGCAAGGAGTGATATCACCTTTCTATCGGATAAATGAGAAAGTGTAGTTTGCACACAAATGACATAAGTTCTGAGTTGTTAACAACACGTAATTGGTCATCACAGTTACTTTCTGAAATTTCATGCCGAGTTCCCAAACATGTCAATATCAGACACAAAATGCAATTACAACTTGACTAATAAGTTGGTATAAATTCATCAACTATGATAAACTGCTTATCTCAAACAAATTGCAAAATCCACCATGAATTAGAGAATATCCACAGAAATCTTCAAAAGTGGAGTACTTCTTTTCACTTCACAAATAATGAACGTCAGTATCAGGTTTTTGGTATATACACATATATGATCATCACTTATATCTTTAGCTTCTGACAATCCATCTATTACAACGATTTATGTTAGGAAGGTGGATATTAGCCATTATTCAAAAAATTCAAGAATGCTTCTCTAGGAGAAAGGTCTCTCCTTATTCCACCTCTATGCAACAGACCATTCGACTGGATCTGAGCATCATAAGCAAGGATGAAAAACACAAAACCCTCTACAATAAACAAGCGACATAAAACACGGTAACTGTAAATTATGATTCACCAGTTACTCAGGATCATAGGACTTTCACGAATATCAATAAGGAATTTGGATTTCTAGAGATGTTTTTAATTTGATGATAATCGTACCACAACACGAATTCACATAGTAGTGACCACTAATGAGAAATACGAATGTGTTAATTTTCACTCCATTGATGTCAGTATATCAATGTGAAACCATGCAAGCTTGTTTCAGAGTGAATGGTTTCCAATTTAGTGAGTTCAGATGAATTGCAATGAAGCAGTGAAAAGTTCCATTTCTACGAATTCATCAACAATCTGTAAAGTCGACTAGGTTTGATTTCTGTTGATACTGTTAATTGTGACTTAGCTGCTGAGATTCCTAAAAGAGGCATCTCTTAATCCCTTGAAAGCAGACTCAGTGAAGCATCAGTTAGATTATTTTACTTACAAGGAGATTATTCTGCCTGTCTATATCTCATGGTCCTTATGAGTCTATGGTTAGGTATGATAATCCTCATTCGTACTTTAACCATACTTATTTTTCGTTTTCTTTATTCCATTTGCATACCCTTCCTTTGTTGTATTGAATATTATTACCATTATATTACTTATCATCTTTTTGCAATGTTGCCTTATCATAATTAGCACCCAAATGTGTAAATTTTGAATCGCTTACTAGTCTCCTTATTTCTAAATCACTCTAAGATTTATGCATCTCTTGAAATATTTTTGTCACGATTCACATCCTGTTTTAAAATTTATAATCCTATAATTATTTAGCGACCAAATTTATTCGGTTATGTTTCAGACGCAAGAAATTGGGCTCTTCATTTTACTGTATAGCCAGTGAAGATTCTTTGAGATACGCGGTATCACTGAATTATTCAATTATAGTAGAAAGACGATTATTTTTCAATATATTTTGCCTGTACTGTCAAAGAGTAAGAACATCAAACACTAATTTACCTCAGCAACGCTTTGAGGCAGCGATACGGGCAGTGCGCGTTTCCGCATACAAAACAAGTACTGCAAGTAAGTGAAATTTGAACGGGACATATAAGCGAACAATATTATTTTCAATTTAATCTTCTTCAGTCTGTGCTCTAATTTATACATAGATTTATATATAAGAATTTTTAACCAATGACGGTGATTTTTTGGATCAAATAATAATAACAATAATAATGTGGTGTGTGTTTTGAACGAAATTTATAACAATGATTATAATGATAACAAAGTATTGATAATAAGGTTTATGTAGGGGATAAGAATGACAAAGGTAGTATATCTGTGTATATGTAGACAATTCAATAAATACATAAAAGAAAGGGTTCTGATTCCGTTCGAAAGACTCGATGGAATGCGATAGATAACTTTGAAGGCACTACTTTTGCCCACTTGGTGACCACTGTCAATCAAATGAGCCAAAACAGAACTCCGTATGGATTTTATTGGACCGTTTCCGAACCATGAAGGAAGATGCTCATTAATGCGTTTGTTAAGCTGTCTAGTTGTTCGCCCTATATAGCTGTCTTCAAAGGAGCAACTAAATTTATAGATACACATCGAGGTGGCACAGCTGGGTAGCCTGTCTTTCACTGGAGCATTCATTAGTGGTTGGCTGGAAAATGAGAATTAAAAGGTGGCAGCTCTCCATAATCTCAGATGTAAGACTTCGCTAGCAACGTACCCGTTAAATTGGAATTTCATTAGGACTCTCGCCAACCATGCACATGGTCCGGGGTTCGAGCTCACACCGACGCACACCTGATATCTATGGCCGGCCTGCTAAATTTGGGCTACCGATATCCATGCTGAAAATTCCATACTTGTACCAAAAATACAGTGTGGAATCAAGCTGTTAATCAAAAAAAAAAAATAAAAAAAAAAATTAACAGTTGTTGCTTTTTAACTGTTGTCGGTTTCTCTATATTGTACTTGGTGTTCATGTGTCTCCTTACTAGGATAACCCATTTGAACCAACGTATTTTGGATACATACTAGCTCATTTTCTACGGAGGCATCTGTACAGGCACGTCTTGCTCTATTCGTCAGGCGTCTGCCCAAATTGATTTTGTATCGGATTGGTACAAAACTGAGGAAATGTGTATATTGTCCTTCAGATGTAGGTTTTCTATAGACATCTCTCTTGAGTAAACTATCCTCTCTTCTGCTCAAACAGACGTCAAGGAAATTTAGTCTACTGTCATGTCCTTCTTCAAAAGTGAAAATGAGCGATGGATGTGCATCATTAAGGTTTTTCAACAAGGCATTCTTCTCAGCAATCACACCAAGAAAAATAAACGTATCATCAATATAATGAAAATAAGAATCGGTTTTCTCTATTACTTGTTTTAATGGACCATTTTCAATCTTGGCAAAAACGAAATACGCCAAAATTGGCCCCAATGGAGAACCCATGGCAATACCGTCGATTTTCCTGTATAGGTTTATTTAAATTAGAGTAAAACCTGAAGAAGACCTAATTGAAAACAATATTGTTTGCTTACATGTCTTGTTCTAAAATTGAATGATTCTTCCGGCGTAGGTGTGTTTTCCTTATACCTTTTGTGCTTAAAAAGGAAAATATTTACGGTAAGGTAAAGTCGCCATAACAACCGTATGTTCATATCTATTAAACTCACATTTATATCAAAATTACGCTCATCATTTCGGTCCATAACAATGATTACCTTAAGGGTATCTGAGGGGTTAATATAACAATGGAAGTCTTATTATTTATTATTATTGTTCCCTTGGGTTCCTAGTGAAACACAGTGCTTCAACTTCACGGCTACACTTGCTTCTGTCTTCTGCTGTACTTTTCACCTGCATCTATGTTAGTTCACACAGTTTCAACTCCTCTTCACACGATCTCCTCCGTGTCACCCTTGCATCGACGTCCAACTCGCCGCTTCCCTTTCGGGTTCTACTCGAGTGCCTGACGCGCGATGTCACCCAGCGGCCTTCTCAGCGAGTGTTCAATCCATCTCCACTTTCTCCTGCATATTTGTTGGACGGCGATTGATTCTTGTTTTGTTTTTCCCCATAGTTTCTTGTTGATGATTCTTTCACGTCATCTGATCTTCAGTGTAGATCCAGCGAAGACAGTTGTTGATGAAGTTCCGCTACCTGTTGGAAATATTCTTTGTGACCCGCCAAGTAACCGATTCGTATAGAAGAACTGACAGACTTGACGTTTGTATTGGAAATCCGACTTGATTTTGTTACTGATGCCAAGTGACGAAGATTTCCAGATTAGTTTCAGGTTGATGAATGTGTTTCTTGCCTTCCCGATTCTCGATAACGGAAGTCGAGATGCCTCAATTTTAAAAGGTTAGTAAGGACTTATGATATACATAAATAAATCAGGATAACACGAGTTCATTCTTCATTATTTCATCTAATCTTCCCAAATAACTGAAACTTACATAACTCAAAATATAAACGACAGAGATGATTTGACCTCAAACTATTTTTTCTCTGACAGAATAATCTAAAGGAGCTACCTGTGAAGTGTGAATCTAAAATGAAGAATGTCGTTCAATTGCTGGGATTTAAAAATGTTGGCTATATGTAGATTAGTGAACGACTTTTGGTTCCATTCGTATACGTTCGTTGTCACACTCTCTCTCTTGTGTTCTCAAGAAAACTCTGAACTTATCACAGCTAATTTGGCGTTCAAGAATACGACCACTAATATAATCAATATGTTACGGAAAATAATATTCAGAATGTTGATTGTAAGTCATAGCAGATTAAATAAATTGGAATCCAAATCTTAGTAATCAGGTAATAAAATTAATTCCAGCTCTATTTTTCTTGACGTTATGTAAAAAAATGATTAAACAACGTATAAAATTTCCAATGAAGGTAATTACATGATATTTACTCTCCACCCGAGATCTTCAAGTGAAATATTAATCGATGGTAGCTAGTGTGACAAAGCATTATCTGATGAAAATCGAAAACCAATCACTTATGATTTTCCTTCTTTCTCTGCCTCGATAAATGCACGACATTTAGTTGAATGGAAATCGTAGAAATTTCAGGAGTATATTTTATGACTCAAAAATGAAACATAGAAACCGGTATCTCTTGTTATCTTTTACCTTGTCAGCAATGACTATACTTTGCCTCAAGTCTAGTAAAACTTGCAAATGAGCAGGTTGTAAACATCTGCAATATACCAAAGAGTGATTAATTCCATTAGCTGTCATATTTCAAAAGACTGAAACAACCTCAGCGAGAGGTATTATATTCAAAACACAATACATAATGACAGAAGATTTTAATAGCCTAAACTTCAAACACATTGTTGAATGGAATGTGAATAATGAACTTTTAGACAAGTATTCTTAGTTAATTTCTCCTTCTTGCCAATGAATTCATTTTTGATCTCAGAAATACAGATGTAGGTAATTGACTAAAATTGAATGAATAGATTTATTAAACTGATTAAAGAAGTTGCAGGATCCAATGGTTAAAATACAATGGCACATTTGACATTTTCAATTGACTTATCTCATTTGGCCCTACAAAATGGAAACTTCGACAATTTTCTCACATACACACACCATCGATCAACACATTGAAAATGCTTCCATTGCTTGTTTGATTCCTCTAGTTAGAGCGCAGAAGATCAGTGCTAACACGTCCTCGACAACAAGGAGTCCAAATGAAATAGGACATTCTGCAACACATTTAAATAAAGTCAGCTCCAAAAATTGAAGTCTTTGGAAACTTACTATAATCCACATCAGGACCAATGTATCTTGTGAATCAGCACTGAACCTGAATTACTATAATACACTGAGGAGCTATTCAGTGCTCTAAAATACAAACAGAGCAAATTGTGAATGATTTCAAAAGCTGAAACACAGGGATATATGAATACAGGTTGGTACTGTGATGGTATGTATATGTATGGCGAATTTCGTAACTTTGTAGAAATTCTGCCAATTTTATGGAACCTCTTCAGTATAAACTCCGCTTTTACGTATTTTTCATGTTATCACATTGTATTACATTGGAAATCTGATATTAAGTCAGATCGACATTGGTTACGAACCAACTTAATAACGTTTACAGGCAAATAAACTTAGATAAATAACATGTAAATGTTCTCAGATGCCGTATGTTAGTAATTTAACTCAGATAACTGATGTGAACGCAAGTTGTACATGGAATGAATTATAGAGTTTTCTCAGTGCCCTTATAAAAGATGATTAGTAGAAGCAGGATTACAATGGAGACTTACATATTGTTGCAATCGCTGTTATCCACAGCAGTATATACGTTTAAAATGTTGTACTGGATTTCAGGGTAAGTCACACTGCAAAAAGTACATTATTATACCTGACTTTCCAAGAAAGTCGCCTGCAAAGTAAGCCCAGAGATTTTATTCGATTGATAAGCTTTTCAGATTTTCTCACAAACTTTAACTTATTTGTCCACTGTCACTTTCATGTTGTCCAGAACAATATCACTCATGATGGTTTTCAGTAGAAATACTTATAATAATATAAAGCAAACACTAAAACGATGAGGTGATGCAAATTGTTTGACATCTTAAAAATGCGGAGAATATTACTCAACAGTAACCGATTCACCTTTTAAGGGTGATAAGGATTATCACGCTGACACCTTTATCGATTTTTCCCATTCACTCATTGTGGTAGTGTGACAAGTAATGTGAGTTGATCTTCATAATATAATAAATGATGTGCTTCAAGTAGAAATCTTCAATTGTTTACGATTTCGCATCCTTGAAAAATTTTTAGTTATTGTTTACACAGAACAAACCCAGCAGATGAACTTCAGATTACAATCAAATCACTGGAATTTGTCGGAAAACTGAATAACTACTGTAGTTTATACATGGCATCATCTGCTCCCTTTCACCTGACAAATGTCATGTATGCACATATATTTAGAGAAAATGTTGACTTTTTGACACTGAAACATACAGTGAAACAGAACGTTAGATCCCCAACATACCTCTTAATATAATTTCAATATTGTGTCACAGATTTGTTCAGAAGAATCTGTAAAATCCTGCTGATATATTCATTAATCGTGATTAATACACCTGTAGAACGTTGATGTCATGATTTCCTTCTTTTGATGTTTGTCTAGCGTGTATCGCATCACATTCCAAGCATTTTGTTTTGATAGACACAATTAGACGGAGAATCTTTAGGGATTTGGTCTTTTATATGGACAAGGTTGTTTCGTAGTGTGTCTGATATTATGAAAAAAACCCTAATGTTGAGTTTATTGAGTACACTTTTGATACTGTCTGACGCCTACCCTCTATATGGAATGACAACTGTTAAGATCCATATTTTTGGAATACTTTCACCATATTTAGTGCCAGTGTTGATTTCGTTGATGAAGTTCTCCGGGTAGTTTTTTGCTTGAGAGTCTCAGTAATGTTTGATATTTTTTTCTATTTTTCCCCGTCTCATGTATTATCAATGAGTCTGCTCGTCTCAGAGGACTTGAGACAACTGATGGCTTTGCGCTGACGAGGTATGATTACCACAAGTCTAAATATTTGTTGGATTGAGTTTTCTCCCAGAAAATGAATAAACTAAAATGCCCGTTTTTACTCCAATTAACTATGCAGTCAAGGAATGGCAGTTCGCCGACGTCTGATTCCGATTTCGAACTGGATTCTGAGAAATGAATTGTTCGGTTTTTCCAAGAATGACCTGTGTAGATGACGTTATAGAGCAAGAAAAGTATCGTCAATGCATCTTAACTACATCCTACGCCTGAGTATGCTTGAAAAGATGTTATCTTTGAATCTATTCATAAAAAGAGCGACGCCAGCTGAGGAAACTAGTGAACCCATAGATTAAC